CGCTTCGCCCATTCACTTGAATGGGGTGACGTAGAAGATTTGTAATCTTCGCCGAACTGCATTGTGGGGAGCATGGCATGGCTTTGCAAGCATCACGAGCATCTATCTGGCATCAGCCAATCAAATCCTGTTTATGCAAATCCCGCCAGTGCAAGCGCAGCCAATCAAACCGCGTGCAAGCTGGGAGAGCCAGACCGCAGTTCATTTCCTCATATTCCAAACGAGATATTACGGTAGCAAATCACCCGGTTCTTTACGACCGGAACTATTTACCGGGATACAAACCGGAGGAACCAGGCATGGAGGGAGGTGGCAGAGACAGTGGGTGAAACTGGTAGGTTTTCGCCTGTTTGGGGAGTTTATATCCAGTTTACTTCGTTTTAACATTGCTATTGCTTTGTATGTCGGGGGCGGGAGATTCATGTGATTGGTTGTTGGTCGCAAAAAATCGCCAAGCTTCAGACACGCCCAGCTTCAAGATTTTTTGATGCCTGTAGTGTAGACGGGCCGTAACTCTTCATCCCTGCTCACAACCACAGTGACAGTTTGTTTATTCAGTCAATGCAACCCTGACGACCTGTACGCAGATAATGAATAAATAATCACTTTAAAAGACTAGTAATTCTTATATGAATGCAGATATCTGTTTAACTCTTTGGTCTAACTTCTTAGGAAAATGCTAAGGAATGCGGCGGCGCGGCGGCCATCTTCCCGTCCCTCTGCATCCTGTCGTCTTCTCTGATCGCCTCAACGCTGCTCCGCCATTGGACGTAAACGGACCAATCAGGAAGCAGGATAACCAAACGTGCAGCAGGTAGCTGGAGGAACATTTTCACTTTCCTCCAGAGACAACGGGACTCACAGCGGTGGATTTAAAGGGCTATTCCTCTTTTTGTTATTAAGACTTTTCCTGAACTATTAACTAAAGAGGAACAAGGAGGCGTCACTCTGACAGACGGACATGCAGCTCGTGTTGCTTTACACTCAAAGAATGTATTATCTGTGTAGCATTTTTTGATACAGAAATATTGTACACGAAATAAACTTCTTTTTCCATGAGGTCAACCGGACACTCAGAGGCCAAAGCTGTTATTTATACGAAATGATTTAGTCGAAAGCAGACGTGTTTTTGTGAATTAATCTCCTGAATTTATCCTCAGATTAAGTGCAGCACTTCCAGAAGATTTAATACAAAACACACTTTTAGATTTTTATAAAACGCATCAGCCACGTGTCACGCTTTCAAAGAGATTTTCTGTAAATGAAAGAATCCTCTTGACTTTCAACGGGAAAAATAAAGACATTTCCAGACTGTTTTTGTAATTTTGAGGTAAAAATAAGTCTCTGATGAATCTGGTTTGAAACTTACATTTAACGACATATTTGTATTTATTGGTGATTTATAACCAGTGGTGTAGTGGGGATCTTTTTTTTACTGGGTGGACGCTATTTTAATTAGGTCATCCCGAACAATCTCTCTCGCTCTCGCTCACGCTCTCACGCGCTCACTCACTCTCAAAAGTGGGGGAACGACCACTACGCCACTGCTTATAACTGTGGTTTCAACACAATTTAAATGACTGTTGGCGTGTGCAGCAGGTTGACGGACATGCAGCTAGTGTTGCTTTACACTCAAAGCAACACTACCTGCTGCACACGCCAACATTACACCACGAAAGACGGTCGTTGAAATGCAGTCAAGACACTGGTTATATTTAATGTAGAGCGCGTGGGTGTAACTGGGTGTGGTTCAGGCTCCAGTGGTTTCACATCTTTTCGGTCACATTTCTGGTAATAAGTATGAATTGTTAATGATCCATAAATGCAGTTTTTGGGTATAAACTTGAATTAAATATGGTGATTAAACATGCTGGAATTATTACATTTTATAAGAAATCCTCTTTGTAAAAGGTAAAGATGTTTAGTGGGTTTTTAAGTTATTTTGAATTAGTTTTTTTAAAGATATTTAAAGAAACTTATGGGTTTTATAACCTGCTTTTATTCTCTTAATTGTGTCCGACTAACTCTGTTGTAGAGAATCAGGAAACATGTCTCCCACTAGCTCCAAATGTGGAAAACACCAAATTCATTTCTATTTACTTTGGCCTGTTTTTACCCCCACTCTCTACAGAAAAGTACATTTGTATTAATATTGCAGCTCCTACATTTTAAAACTGTACTCTGTCAGATTTTGATATAAAGAATATTTATTGCTCAGCTCTTTTTGTGTTTCCTGATGTTTCACATTTTACAGATTTAATACATTTATACAGAAATGTCCCCGTTTCTATCATAACGTGCACACAGACGGTAACCCTCACTTTCTCACAAAGTGTGCGTGTGTGTGTGTGCGTGTGTGTGTGTGTGTGTCCTAAGTACGCAGTCACTAAACTCTGATGCTGCCTTCAAAGAAACACGTTTAGCTTGAACAGCTTTTTATCAATTAGTAAAGCATCAATGCAGTGATGTCGCCCCCTGCTGGACACCGGCAGTAACAACACCAATGTGATTTAAGAAGAAACCTATTTTTTACTTTAGCTATTTATGTTTTTGGTCTGTTTTTTCCCCCTTCAACCCAAGACTTCTAGTAAAGAACAGCTCAGAGGGATGATTTGAACCTTTGTTGATTTGTGAGTTGTTTTGTACGAGGAAAAACAAATGCAAATGCTATTTTGGCTTTTTGTCCCTTTGGTGATTCCATACTTAACATGCATCACACGAAACTATTAAGATTGGCTTTACCTCTACCAGAGGGGAGGAGTACTCAGATTGCGTACTTATATATAAGTAGAAGAAGTACCACTACACTAAACTGTACTTAAGTACTTGCGTACATGTACTTAGTTACTTCCCACCTGGTCAGCAGTGATTGGAGCCCTTAGAAAAGTCAACAAAAGGAGAAACATGTTTTTATTAGTGACTTTAGGGACCCT